ATGATATGATATAATATAATATAATATAATATAATATAATGTAATAGAATAGAATAGAATACAATATAATTATAATATAATACAATATAATACAATATAACATAACATAATATAATATAAGATAATATAACACAATATAATATAATATAATGCGATATAATATAACATAATACAATATAACGTAAAATAATATAATATAATGTAAAGTAAGATTATATTATATTTTATTATTATAACATATCAGATCGTATCATGTACCTAAAAGTCTAAGCTTTGCCCTAACAACTGTTAACCACTTTGTCCTCAATTTTTCAACTTTTTTTTCTTTTTTTAATTAGCTTTTTTATTTGATTATGTATCTTTCCTTTTTTTTGAAAGCTTTATTTTTGGTTATTTTAATTTGAATAGTGTTTGTGCTGTTTTTTTATTTTTAATTTTAAATGCATTTTTGCTGCTTGGAGCAAAATTCTTGCTTAATTTTGGTATTAGTTGATGAGTATTGAAATAGACGACTTTTTGATACTTTTCCAAGAAACAGTTATTGATCGTAAATGACTAAAAAAGTTTGTTTGTCAAATACACCGGTTGGTTCGTTTTAGAAGTACCTGTGCTATATGTCTACTCCAGATGATGGACTTACAAAGCTTGATGACTTAATTAAGGGTATTCATTTCGCTGAAGATCAAACGGAACAGGATGCTACTTCATCAGAATCGGGATTGGGTATTTGCACTCATACTACATTTTTATTTTTCACTCTTGAAACGTAGATATTTAGAAGAAAGAGAGGGTGGGATTTATTTGAAACGGCTGAATAGACTTTACTCTCACTTTTTGGCTTTAGAGAAAAAATTAATTGAGAATCAATTATTGTTTTAGAGAAAGAGCCACGGGTAAAGAATCAGTATGGAAAAAGCAGTATTGATGATGATACGGAGTCGCCAGGTTCCAGGAGTGAGGAAACAAAACTGGATGTTAATTCAGTGATCTTGAAGCAGGTGAAATCTATTTATATTGAATATACTTGGTTATTCGTCTTTTTTCCCAGGGAAAATTTCTTTTAGAATTTGGTTTTCTTCTAGATTTCTTACCTTGGCTGTTCGAAGATTGAAACTGCTAGTAGCGAGGCTGAAATGCTTAAAATTATGCACCTTTTAAATAAAGAAGCTGTTCAAGATCCTATAGATGTAGTTTTGTCAGTTCCGAATTCTGCACATGGGATTGTCAGGTTCTGTTTTATTTTATTTTATTTATTTTGCTATTTGAATGACAGTTTTCCTGAAGTAGAAACAGAATTTGAAGCTATTCTATAGAAGATAGCTTATTAAGTCTGTGGCATCAGTTATTCGGTCAAGGTTTTCTAAATACAATGTGAAGGTTCAAATTCATTTGCAGAGGTTTGGGTAGAGTTTTTTAATTGTTTTTAGAATGTATGAGAGCAAGGGGACTTCAGAAATGGTTAACTTTCCGGTTCATAGAATAAGGTTTTGTGCTCGTGGACAGTTGAACACTTCGGAAAAAGATTGTTTTGCTCTCGCATTTACACAACAAAACGCTACTGCTACAGAGCCGGCTCTTCACTATTGTCATGTGTTTAGATGCCATACTCCAGAAGGGGTACCTGTTTTTCTTTAAAAATCGTAACGTTGTTTCCTTGTTGTAATACTAGCTGTAAAATGCTATTTTTATATTGGCTTGTCCATTCGTTGGCGCAGCTGCTTTATAAACGTTATTTTATCTTCAAGAAACTGTAAAAGAGCGTTAACTGCCGCGTTTGCCACTTGAAAATTGCTTTTTTAATTTCTGTAATTAAGCTTTCGTAGACATTTCACTTCGAGCTCAATCATTTGACGCGAGTATTTGAAAAATTTTCTTTTGTAAAGGTGTTTATAGGTGCGAAAGTATACTGTAGTTTTTTTGCTTTATTAAATGTGATTCTTGTAATTTTTAAGTGCGTTGTGTATAAAGTTTTTCGCCAGTGAGCTGAAGCATGTAATAATCAAACTGGAAAATTTTTAGCTTGTTTCTTGTAAGTTGTCTTATGCACTTTTCGTGATAGCGTTGCATCTTGAGAGTTTTGATGAGGTGGGCAACAGGCATTTTTACGGATTTCATTAGTAATTTCAGTAACGTCTTTCCAGGCTGGGAAGGCGCTTTTGTGTTTTGTCACTGCATTCCGTAACAACAAAGCTGGAAACGGTGCTCCGTCACTAAGTCTGGATCCCAAAAACTCGAGGAAATCCGCAAAAAGTTTTGATGGGGACTCGAGTTTCGACGCTGGAAAAACTTTTGTTGTGGAAGGGGAAGAAGACTATCAGTTCGATGCTTTTCTTGAAATGAAAGTATGTTTTTTGTTCATTTTTTTGTTGGATTCTTGCCGTTGAGCTCATTTTTTCAGGAGGAAGACCCTAAAAAAGGGTTCACTTTTTGCCCACAGGAAAAAAATTGCTTCAAGCTTAGGAGAGATAGAGAAAAGCGTGTGTTTGTTGTTCTACAACAAACTAGTGGTCCAAAACCTCTGATTGTGAAAAAGTTTGTTTTTTTGACTTTTCAGGAAAGAGCATTAACAAATTATTTTATACTTTTTACTTTTACATTTTACATTGTGATCATGACTTAAAATTCTTTCATCCTTTCATATCTTTTGCATTTATAAAATAAAGCAGTTTTTCATGTTTTTCAAAACATTTTTTGTAGTCTTGGAAATGTTATATTGCCAATTTTGTGCAACTGTTTTTGAAACTAAATTTTTTTAGATGTTTCGGTTTACTTCTTGCAGCTGGTAGGAACTTACGGCAAAGCGATATGCATCTTTTAGATATGGTTATTATTATTTATTACCTTTTCTTGTATTTTTTTCACTTTTTAAAAAGGCTCTTTGACATTAGACAGTAGTTAGATACTGTAGCGTCTTTGTGTTAGTAAGTTTAGCTTGCTTTCAAATTTGTCTTAAACCACAAATTTTCTTCAGCAGTCTATGGGTCGTGGTAATGACAACAGAAATTATATAATAGAGGCTGTTTGGAATCCTCATGCTCAAAGTTTTGAAGTATTGAATACAGAAACCCCTAGAGGTGGTGTTAAAGTTTTTAATTTTTTTTAGAGATTTTTCAAAAAACCGAATCGGTCACTGTTAAATTTTCAGAAACTCGCGTTTTTATGACTGTTGCTGTTGACATTATTTTCGTTGGTATCGATGAGCCAATAAGATTTATTATGGAATGCAAAGCTCGTATTTTTCATGAACACGAACGTTTTTGGTATGTGACTAGAAGACCGGTCGTTGAGAAGTATTATTTGACTTTAAAGGTAAAGAATCAAGTAAGGCTTTTGAAGTAATTTGAACGTTTTGGAACAGTTTAAAAGCTTTTAATTTTCATCTGAGGAAGCTGGTTCTGAATCAGAGCGAGCTTGGAAGGTTAACAGGTGTTTACTCAATATTTTGCCAGTTCTTAATAATCGATGAAAATTATTTGCACAGAAGACAAAACGATTGATAAGGATTGTGTTTTTACACAATGCAAACTTGTGCGGTTTAGCTATTGGGGTCCAACCAAATTTTGCGACTTTGTAGATCGTTGTACATAAATTTGTTTCATACTTCTAATTTTTTCATAGTAATTCTCATAATTAGTAAGGAATAGTTGCTTTATTTAATAAAGCTAAATGATAGTATTTAAAATTATTAGGCGGGGGGAAGTGGTGAAATACGTATTGGGCTGAGTTTCATAGTTTTTTAAAGTGTTTTTTCAGAAGCATTCTGCACTTTCACTCTAGCACTCTTCTTGAACAAATTTCGAGAAGTTGTCAGTTGAACTGTTTGTTTCCGTGTCTGTTTTAAAAGCGGTACTTGCTCCTTCATTTTGTTGTTAGCTGGTCATAGTTTTTCAAAGGGCTTGTTTTTGCTGGATTGTTCATTATTGCTCTTTAACACAATTTCTTTTATAAGCAGGTATCATTCACATTATCGGCTATACGTGCGATTTATAACAGCTAAGCCAAATTTTTTTTTGGTTTTGACAAGTTGTAGGATAACTTACGAATTTAAGAAAAATCGTCATTATTTGCTTCTGTTTCTTTATGTACCGAGTCCAGTTGTAGTTTATATAAGAGAAGTTAGGGCTTTATGTTACAATTCCTTAAAATTCAGAAAATTTTAAATTTTTTGGTTGTTATTTTGGACTTTCGGTTATAAAAAATTTACCGAAACTTGAATGTTGATAGATTTTTTGATGGGTTTTTGTAGAGTGAAACATCGGTAACCTCTTCACTCATTTTCCTTTCATACGTTGCGAGTTGGGTTTTTAACATTTTTGTAGTGTTCGCGTTGCGCGTTTGAACAACGGTTAATTAATTCATGACTTTATTCGTGTTTAGCGGGCAAATACACATTGACACAAACAAATCTGAAACAAATTTGACCAAGCAGTTTTTAAGTGCAACAAACATGAGGGCTGAAGTTGGTGCACTTTTTCTTTCAGTCTTCAATGTGTTTTAGACAGAAGTTACTTTGGGGAAATTTTATTGATATTTTTATTAAGGTCCAAAATTGCAACAGTTTTTTCAGATTTATTAACAATCCTTCTGTCAGGTTATTTTATAGGTTTTCTATTGTTTGGTTATTTCTTGTAAATATTCTTTTCTCTTGTCACTGAAGAGATAAAACAGTTGTTCGTAGCGTATCTTCCGTTTTTTCTTATAGATTTTATTACATTGTAAAGAACAGTAATTCAAACGTGGGTCAGTTTTTGAACGGCAAGATTGGACATAGAAACTCAGGGTTAACAGCGACTTTTATACTGTTTATGAATCTGATAAGTATCGGATTCAATATCAGTTTGCTTATTATATTTATGACTTCTGTCTATTAATAGCATGTTTTTCTGTTGAAAATGGGTTTCAGCATAAAACTTTTTTGTTCATTGTTAGTATTGGCGATCAGCATGAGTGATGTGGACAGTGAACAATTCCCCCCTATTATTCTGTTTAAATTTCTGGGTTGAGTGCAAAAATGTAAACTTCTGTTAACAAAATACGTGAATTTGTTTTGAGTGTAAAGTGATAGCGTTGAGTAAAGCGCATAGTTTAGGAGGTTTATTTAAAAATAATCAATTTGGGAGCTTAAAAATCGCTTTTTCAGCAGCTTAACACGTTTTAACGTTTTAAGGAATATGCTGAGCTTTTTAGATTTTTTTTTTTTGATTTCTGATATTCATCATCTAAAAGTTTTATTGTAAGATAAGTGTTATTTATGTGCCAAAGGATGAAAATGTTTCATCTTAAAAAAAAGAGAAAAGCAACGGCGGGGCATTGTTTTGCAGTTATGTGGCAGAGCGATGTTGCTTGTGCTTATTTCTTGCTTAAAGTTCGCTTGTTGGCATCACAACCTTTTTGTGAGCCTGTTTTTTCTTTTTTGCAACGCTGGTCAGCCACTCCCGACTGTCTAACTGTTGCTTTTCATTTTAACGGATTAAGTTGTCTTTTTTTTGCTACCACTTTCAGAATATTACTGTTGAAGTGCTGTCATATTTGCAAGTTTTTCCACGACAAAACACTTTACGAGATTTTTTGGTTTTATCAGTTTTTGCAGGATAGTTTGATACAGCGTCTGTGCAATAGCAGTAACAACTTGTGTTTCTCCTCTACTAATGTTTGATTTTTGCAGTATGGAGTTTTTATATAAGTACATTGTAAAATTACATGGATAAGATACTTAGCGTTTTTTGCTTAAAAATTGTTTATTTTTTCAGATAAGTTTTTTGCTTCCTAAATTGACCAAACAGCAGATTTTGTTTATTTTTTTATTTATTAGCTTTTGTTTTGTTGGTGAGGATACCTAGTTAGCGCTGTAAAATAGCACCGTTTTTTTAGTTTATTCTCATTGATTACAGTTTCGTGTAAACTTTTTGATCGAGAAACTAATTCAAGAAAATTCTTTGGGTGTTGAAGAAGCAGTATCCATGTTATATTTTTTAAATTTAGCTTTTTTGCTAGTTTTTAAAAAAAAACTTATTGAGGTGATTCTTTGCATGCGTTCACGTTAGTTATTCGTTTACTGTTTATGGCGTACAAAAGTACAAATTTTTAACAGCCAACAATGATATTCTTTTATTCTGTGACGGCTTAGGAGCGTATAAATATGTTTGGTCGTTCACACCATTGTTGTTTCGTTTTGCAAAAAATTCTTCAATAATATTTTGCCAACATTGCCATATTTTTTTGAAAATCTGTTCAAACTTGTTGTTCGTATTTTTATATGCCAGGAGTTTTTTAGATGGATGAAAGTCGACAAAGTCCTGACACACCAGAGACTTCTACTCAGGTAAATTATGTGCCACCTTGGTCGAACAGTTTCTTCAATCAAAATTATTAGGCTTGTTCTCGAGGTTAACACTTCTGAAAAAGTAATTTAGTTTGAGGTAGTTCGTTTCGAGTCTGCTACTGAAAGGGAACGTTCGCTCAATCGCGTATCATTGGGCCGTTCTCCAACAAAAATGCCTACGCAGTTAATTCATCCTGCAGATGATGATGATTCTGGTACCTTCTAGTATTTTCCGAAAACGAATTTTCTCATGAGTTTTTTCGAAGATGCTGTTTTTATTCATGTTCTGTCTTTTCACATTTGCTCTTGTATGGCTTGAAGTTCCAAAATATAAGTACACTCTTTGAAAGAAATTAATTTTTTACGCTAGATTATGATTATGCAGGTTATTAATATTTTAATACATGCATTTTTAATTTTGAATGTAAGCGGGAAGTTTCTTCAGTTCTAAGCTGGGCCACTGACAGTTTTCAGTCATGATATATTGCAGTAATTTTTGTAATGAGTATTGATTTACAAAAGTTTTTTTTTCTTTTGCAAGACATGATTTACTGTCATTTTTGTTAATATAGCTTTAAGTTTGTCCAGTAACTGTGTTTTCTATTAATAGACAGTGATGAGCCTTTGCTTTCTGGTTCGGGAGAAGTGAACCAGGAGTGTTCTGAAGATGTCCGTAGCGCTTGGGAGTCGATGCTTAAAGAGTGGAAGAAGGACACATCTGGGTTATTGCTTTTTTATGTGCACCTTTATACGTTTTATTACCAACGATGAAAGAAGTATAAAACGATTAGATTCTTTTTTATATTTGGGAAAGAGTTTACAGGTGTATGATTAATACTGCCTTAAATGTCAGGGGAAGAATTGGAAGAAAGGTAGATAGGCAAAATACAGTCGTTTTGCTTTGTTTTTTTAAAAATTTTATGGCTATTATCTAGCTTTTAATTGTGTTAATATTCGTATACGTTTCTGCTACAGATGAAAGAGGAATTCTCGAGGAGTATGTCAAAAAGTTGTAGTTATTTTATATTTCTTTTTTTTTGAACCATAAAGTTCTTTTTTTTCTCATAACTGCACTGTTTGAAACCAAATATCTCAAACACTTTTCGCTATTGTTTACATTATCGCCGGGAGATTTTGAGAGTAATGATTTAGAAATTATGTCACGGTTTTTCTGCTTTTTAAATGCTTTTTATACTTAGAAGTACTGATGGTAAAAGTGGCTTTAGGAACATTGAACCCAAATTCCACTGTTTGGCTAATAAACCTTTCTTTCTACTGCGGTAAAGTTCCACTTCAAAATATATATTAGTTCCCAATGGTGCTCCTCTTTTTTTTCAGAAAACTTTTGTTGAAATAACTTAATTTTCTTTATGACAGATCACAGTTAAGTCTTCACTTTTTGAGACTGAGTGCTAGAATTGGGTCTTCCAACCTTTTACTTTAACATTTTTTCACGTTTGTTGCTTTTTGTACCTTTTGAAAGTGTTTTTAGACAATCAAGTATTTAACAGTTTGTTAAAATCATTTTCTTAATTTTTCTTAAGAGAATCTTTACGTCCGTTATGGAAACAAATGTAGAGCCGTGAAAATTTTTGAGATGCTTAGGTTTTTCCGAGTGGCTGTTTTTTCAGGTAGCTTATACAGAAACTTTTATTGGTTTAAAAGATCTTTGTATTTTTAAATCTCTGGATAAATTTTGATTTCTGTAAAATTCCTTTATGTCTCTGTATATATTCGTTTTTTTTTGTGTGAGAATAATTTTTTTGGTAAACGCTGCTTATTTTTATTTATACCTGTTTGAACTTTATGATAGCTAATGGAATTGACTTGCGGTAATTGAGTTAGGCTTTCTGTGGGGTTTGGCACTCGTTAGTCACTGCACTGTGTCATTTTGTAACTATTATTTTTTCTGTTTAGTTGCTGGGATGACAGTGAAATGGCATTTTTGCTGGCTGTTTTATAAAGGATGCTAGTTTTGTTCAATCTTTACTAATTTTATAGAACCAGACCGGAAGGGCTTGCTAATTTGATATTGAACGGGGTCCCTGATGTTTTACGAGGAGAGATTTGGCAGTGTCTTGCAAATGTTCAAGCCGACCCGGAACTCACCCAAACGTATCGCCTTCTTTTAGGGAAGGTCAGGGATTTGAATCTGTAGTTAATTTTCCAGCATTTGAGTTTTTTGCTGCTTTTATAGTGAAACTTGCGAGTATTCATGGTCGTTTTATAGGAGTGTCCATCGGAGCAAGTTATACTGCGGGATATTCATCGGACATTTCCAGCTCACGACTTTTTCAAACAAGCTGGTGGAGAAGGCCAGGAATTATTGTACAGAATTAGTAAAGCATATTCTTTGTATGATGAGGAAGTCAGCTATTGTCAAGGGCTTTCTTTTCTTGCCGCAGCTTTGCTTCTTCACGTGTGTAATTTTTCCCCCTTACTGAAAACATTCTCAATAGTCGACTTTGATATGTCATCTCTCTATACAAAGATTATTTTTCAGATGCCTGAAGAGCAAGCGTTTTGTACACTTGTGAAAATAATGTTTGATTACGGGTTGCGAGATCTATTTAAATTAGGTTTTGATGTATTACATCTTCGATTTTATCAGTTGCAGAGATTAATTGAGGTAATATTGAGTATTTATAGTTAAATGGAAAGATTCTTTTTAACACCATAATGGTTCTAGGATTACGTTCCTGATCTTTTTGCTCATTTCTATGATCTCGGTGTGGAGACTCATATGTATGCTTCACAGTGGTTCCTCACACTATTTACTGCCAAATTTCCTTTACAGATGGTTTATTTTATAGTTGATCTCTTTCTTAGCGAGGTATGGTTTTGATAAATTATTGTTTTTTAAAATTGTTACACAGTCGTGGGATTGGGTTTGTTTTGTAGATTGATGTCTGTTCCTTATTTATTTTTTTGGAACGGGAGTGGAACAAATATCTTAATTAACTTGAACTTACTGAATAAGTAATATTAGTTTCTTAATTTTTGTTTTTTCTATCTTTTGTTATTAGTTTTTCCTGGATAAAAGCTAAAATTTTCAGGGTATGAATACGATATTTCATATATCTTTAGCTCTGCTGAAGGACTCTAAAAAGGAGCTACTACAGCTGGATTTTGAAGGGGCATTAAAGTACTTCCGAGTTGTATTACCGCGGAAATATCGCTCTGAAGCAAGTGCAAAAGAGTTAATTCATCAGGCAGTAAACTTTAAGGTGCCTCTAGATCTCTGTTTGATTTCAATATTTTTTTCGTCCAGATGGAATTTCTCCTCAAAGTATTTTTATCTAATTCGTTCTAGCAGTTGCTTTTTACGATTCTTATTTTGATAATGCAATAGATTATATTTATAGATTAGCCATAAGCGGCTTTCAAAATACGAGAAGGAGTATTATTCGTTAAAGGAAAAAGAACTGCAGTCGCAGGATCCATTAGAAAGACTTGAAGTATTTTTGATATTTTTTATTACTGCTATTTTTTTATGGGGATAAATTTTGATATTTTAGCGTGAAAATTTGCGGTTAAACGAAACTGTTTTACGATTAGAGCGAGAAAACGACGACTTAGCTCACGAGCTTGTGACAAGTAAGATAGAATTGAGAAGGAACCTTGACACAGTGAGTTTTAAAATTATTGACGATTTTTTCTGTAAAATCATGCCATTTTTAGTTTTTATTATTTAAACTTTTGTAATTGAGTTTTTTGACTTTTTTTTAAAGGCAGAGGATAGTGTAGAAAGTTTACAAGGTCAACTGGAACGTTGTGCGAGAGCCAATAAAGATTTGGAAGATGAAAACTCAAATCTACATGGGGAGTATGAAAGGGTTGGTTTCTTTTCAGTGTTTATTACATTTTTGAAATGCTTCGGAATTGTATTTTAATTATTCCTTCGGTGGCATCGCACTGCCTTTCCTTTCATAATACATAAAAAATGTTTAGGTAAAAGAAATGTGTCGACGTGAGGTGTTGAGATTGGAAGCTGAGTCAGAGCGTGCGCAAGGGATCATTGCAAACTATAAACAAATTTGTTCAGACCTTAGTCATCGCTTGGACAAGCAGGAAGAAGAGTTTAAAGAAAAGAAGAAATTATTTGCCGTAAGCTCTCCTCATATTGTTTTAAATCGATTTCTGATATTTATCTTCGTGTATTCTTTTTATGATTGAGTAATGCATTTGCTTATTCCCGTACTAGTTGAAAGTTTTAGACCAAAGTTTCACAATGCGAGCAGTGTTCTCAGGTCCTATCCGAGATTGAAGATTTTAGTGGAAGTCCCGCGAAAAAGGTAGTTTTTAAAGTCGTAAAAAATTTAAAATGTTCACTTTTTACTGGTGGCATTTTGCTGTCCGCGTATGACCGGTAGGCGTTAAATCATTGTGTTTTTACAGATTGTTTCTCTGATGAGGTTTGCTTTGAGCCTGAGAAGGCAGAAACTTCAGTGCGGAAAAATGTATTTTTCATGTAGTTTTACAGGTAGAAAAGTCTATTTGGCACCGTATTCTAGTATTCAAAATCTGTTCAGCTATACGCTTGACGTATTTTTAAGGCCTCCAGTAAAGTTGAATCTCCAAAAAAGTAGTGTTTTAAAGTTCAGACTATAGCTCTCTTTTCTGCTCTGTAAGATGTTGAGCGTCTCAACGTAGAACTTTTTAATGAAAGGATAGGTTAAGGAAAAAAGATGCAGTGAGTAATACCTTGTGTTTTAAGTTTGATTTGCGGCGTTTTGAGGCTTGATTTTCCTGCAGTAGGGTAATTAGTGGCGGGTTTCGAGGAAAGATACTAGGACAGAGGCTAGACGAGGTTGTTGTGAAATCAACCAGAAAGTTTTAGGATTTATTTGGTATTAAAGAGGTTGTAAGTTTTATCTGTTGTCTTTTTACAATCTTGGCTTTTTTAGATTTTACCTTTGTACAATGAAAAGTGAAGGTTTTTGGTTCAAGAATGAGGGTGAGACCGTTAGTAAGCGAAGTTCAGGAAATGAAGCTTGAACCAATGTTTTTGAAAGTGTGTGTTGATGTTAGATGCATTTGCTATTAATTGTTGTTAGTTCTCTCCAATTACTGAAAATGGATGTGGTCTAAAAGCGATGGAGCTTATGGAAAAATTGGAGGAAAAAGAGGAACACATTCGGCAAATTGAACTTGAGTTAGCTCAGACGAAGTTGGCCCTTGTGGAAGCTCATTGTCGCAACCAAGATTTAAGTCACCAAGTGAGCAGCACTGCAGATTTCAACTGTACTTTTTTGATACATGGGGATATTTTTCATCATATAATTTCGTTATTTAGATGACTACTGTTAACAACGATCATGATAGTAAAAGTGCTGCCTGGCTGAGGAAAACGCTGTCATCAATTAAGGAAGTTGGGACGTCTTTGAAACAGCAAACTCACGAGCGGAATTTAAGTTTTTCTTCTCTAGAGAAATTCTGATTATTACTCAGTATTCATTCCATTTTCTAAATCGACTTATTTCTATGTAGCCGGGGTACTTTACATTCCTTCTTTTTTGTTTTTTTTTTTTTAAAGAAAGTTCTAATGGCTTTTTCAGTGACGTCATAATTTTGTCTTTCTTTGTTGGCCTTGAAGGTTGAGAATAATGTTGTATTTAGTATTTAGAAAGCTGTTCTAAAAATGAGACATTCAGTTAATTTTGAACCGTTTTGGTGCCTCAAAGTTCACAGATGGTCAGATATAGTCTGAAGTCGAAATGTTGTTTATAAGTGTTCATTTTTTGTCAGAGTGCTTCTTAAAAGTTGTATTAACTCTTGGTAGTATTGGTCTTTATCTTACAAAGGTTTCTTTTTGTTTGTTATTCATTTCGTACCTACGATCTAATGGTTGTTCTCCGCGAACATTCTTTTGAATCTCTTAAGAAGACGAAATAATAAGGAATTTTCTCTCTATGCTCTTAGGTCGTAGGTTTATAACTCCTGATCAAAACTGCTGTATTTCCTTGAGTGTTCGGATGTGGTAATTGACGGGTTAATTTATTTTCTCTCAGAAGCATTATTATAATGAATATAATGATACAGTGATTTAGTTTCAGGTTTAATTCACCTGCTTTTTGGGATATTTTTTACCTTTTGCTTTTATAATACTGGTTTTGTTTCTCAGTAAATTAGAACTGTAGATTCATTTCTGTATTTTTTTTTATTTCTTTGATGAATATATCATTTTCAGGGAAGCGGTGCAGTTTTTACACTCTTATTCTTTTTGGCTTTGTTTCCCTAATTGGTTTTTTTATTTACCTTATGTGTTATGTTCATATCAGTTGTTTCGTTGCCCTACGTTTGAATTTATAAAAACTATATACCTTAATTTTAGTGTGCTGATGTGAAACACGCAACTACACAGCACCTCAGTGACTTTTTAATGGTTTTTCTGAGGAATAGTTTCTTTTGAAATGTTTTGCTGATTTTATCTTGTTCAGGTTTAGCAGTTCTGTCTTCCAGAGAAGTGCATTTATCATGTGAAATGGAATGTTGAGCACAGAACTGGAGGTATTTGCATTTTTTTGTAAACAGAAGGGGATTGCTGGCATGCTGATGAAGTTGCTGAAGCTTTTTCAAAAGTGAGAAGTAGTACTGGAAAGCAATAATAATGTTCATTATTTAGATCGGCGTAGGAAAAGTCTGATAGTGTTTCTTCATCTTAACTCGTTCATCGGCAAGTCTATACGGCCATCGGATATTCACAAAAGAAGGATATCTTAACAAGTTGAACATACCGTTTGAAACTGTTTAGTTCCGTTAAAGTCATTTTGGAGGCGGAAAATTGTAAAAAACGGCTGAGAAGAGTGGGAGCGATGTTAATTATGGAACTGTTGAAAGGCGTTGAATCAAAGGAGCAGACAACATTTGATAGGGTTGATGCGCCAAGTAGTATGAAGTGAAAAATGACGTTACTCTCTCAGTAGGTTTAGTTTGTGGCAAACCGTAAGTTTGTGTAATACCGAAGGTGTTCCGTGAACATTGTAACTGCGTACACCGATGGTTGGTATTCACAGTACTACAAGCAAATTTGAGTTGAATTGTTGTTTGTAATGTTTGTTGCATTCTTGCTGTTCTAACGCGAGCCTTGTTAAGGTGTACTAGATACGTGAAAATGTTGTCATTTGGGTATTTTTTTTCTGGTATTCTATAGATTAGGACTGTCAAATGCCTAAAATTCGTTGTTCCATCGTTTTGCCATTTTTTGTCTTACTATTCATCTTGAAACTGTCTACATTTCTGTAAAAATTCAAATTAGAAAGGTAAATAAAACTGACCTGCTTCAAAAGAACCGTTTGCAGTAAATGTTTTCATGATTAGTGGTTTGAAGTTTAATAATTTTCGAGTGCTTATAGGTACATCTTTTCTAGTCAAGCACACATAAATGTTTTTGAAACGCATAAACACGTATATTGTGTATATGGTAAATATGTTATTTTTTCTTTTATTTTTGCAGCTCAATAACAGGTCACTGCTTATTGAATGATGCAGCAAAATAAAAAACTTGTATAGAAAAGTCTGTGAAAAAGTTATTTTGTTTATTTTATAAAAGATTTATTCACTTCACTGGTAATAAACCTTTGTTTTCCCAGTTGCGTTAATATCATTTTTTTTTCTCCCATATCAGAATAGGTTAATGCAGTGAATACTGAAAAAAAAAATTTATGAAACATTTTTGGGAGGAAAAAATCGGATTGATCGATCAAGTAACCGTGCTGAAAACTTATTTTAGCACTTTGTTAGAAGAAATGACCTGCAGGCAAGAAGCTGCTTAACTGTCACTACAGTAACTGTAACTATTTCATCTATTTTTCTCAAAACCTGGGGGTGAAACAGAACTTAGGATATGCACTATATTAAAAAAAGGTAGACTACAAAGTTTATAAAACGAAATATGTACTGAGAGTTCATTTATTAATTTAGGCAGTAGTAGTTAGTCAATTAATTAGCATTTTGAAGAGAATTTTTTAAATTTTGAGTGCTTGGCTATAAATACTTTTTCAGCTAATCTGTAGGCTAAGAACTTTTCTGACTTCAGATGTCAGTTCAGAAACAGACTGACAACAAATTATTTTATTTCTTTCTTGCTGTATCAAATATTAACTGCCATCAACCAGCATAGTTTTTCTTTTTGGAAATTTATGTTATTAATGTTGTTTGTCTGTAACAATTCTTGCTGTCGGAACAGGCTTAGAAAGCCTTATTTATCAGTTGGATATAGCTTTAAAAGCAAAGGTTTGCTTCCTAGTTAGTGAGCTACACATCCCAGTTTTGTGATTGATTATGGCCAAGCGTTCAACTTTTGTAAAATGTATGGTTAGACTTCAGTTCTGTGGACAAAAGGAAAGAACAGAAAGTGTTAGCCGGCCGGCTTTAAAAGACTGAGAAGCACGCTTCTGCATATTCGATAAAAGTACCTCATTTTAAACAGCCGGTTTCGATCAAGCGCTTATTGATCAGTGAACTTTTGTGCTTACTGAGTAACTTGGAACTTTTGGTTTTCAATGGTTGTCCTACTTTTATGCTAATTTATTAGCTAGCAGTTTCTACTTTTCTTTGGCTGGTTGTTGTTCCACTTTTAAGTAAGTTGATTTATTGCTTTGGATTATACACTGGGATTTTGCATTATGTTAATTTTGTTTTTCTTGTATCAGTTCCTGTTCTCACTTTCCTATGTCTTCTGTTCGTAATTGAAAGCCTCGGTGTCTGTGAAATTATCAATTTTTAGTTTAATTACTGCGGTAAATAAGGTTTCTAGAGACCTTCTGACAAGGGTTTGAGAGTTTAGGACAGTATGTTAGCATTGCAATGGTTGGCTCATCTACGCTGGGACACTTATTTAAATCTCTGCAGTGTTGTGAAATTAAAACTACAAATTAAGTCGGATATACTCCTTAAATCTGAATATTATCGGCATTTGCAGAAGTGGTGATGAATTCTGTACCATTTGGAGTTTTACGCTGCTGCATTCGTCGATTTTCCTCATTACTCTTAGACCGTATAGTTGTCTCATCAGAAGTACAAACTGCGCTTAATGCTTCCAAAGGAGTTGTTGCTTTGGAAAGCACCGTAATCACGCATGGTTTACCACGACCACATAATTTACAGTAGGTTATAATATGTTTTGAAGGTGTAAGCAGCAACTAAGTTTGAGTAAACTTGGCTTACCGAAAATATTCAGGTTGAACACAGTAGGAGAACAGCTTAAAAATTAGTTTGCTTCTTTATATTAGAAGTCTCGAGTCATCAATTTATACAAAAAAGCTTTTTTTACCAGAGTGGCTCAGAAACTGGAACAAATTATACGGCAGCATAATGCTATTCCAGCAACCATAGCCTTGCTTGATGGCAAAGTACATATTGGACTTGACGGAGAGAAGCTGCAGAGGGTTGCAGTAGATCCGAATTCGGTGAAGGTTTCTAAACGAGATATACCTGTTGCATTGGTTAATGTAAGTTTTCCCTACTCTATCTGTTTGCGTTTCTTTCAGTTTTAGATGTTTGAATGGACTTATAATGCATTAATACTTCAACTACTGCAACCGTTTCAGAATCGTGTTGGAGGTACGACGGTTGCTGCCACAATGTATTTGGCGGATATGGTTGGGATTCGGGTATTTGCCACAGGAGGCCTCGGTGGCGTACACCGAGGTGCATCTGAGAGTAAGCAACAATTTCACTCTTCCAATTGATTTCACATTATTATAAGACATATTGTGTAAGGAATAAGTCTTTTTAATGCTTTGTCTTCTTCTTTCTTAGAATTACTTTCAAATTTAGCATTTGATATCAGTGCTGACCTGCAGGAACTTGCTAAAACTCCGGTAGTAGTTGTCTGTGCAGGAGTTAAATCAATTTTGGATATCCCCAAAACCCTTGAATACTTAGTACGTTGATCTACGTTATCAAACAAATATTTTTTTTTAAAATAGAGAGCTTTGCAAGTTTTTTAACGTTTATATTATCAAATTTTTATTTCAGTCATATCTATGTTTCGACAACTGGTGAAGTGAAAATGCCAATTAAAATTGATTGTTAAACCGTTAACACCAAAAAATTTAGTGTTAATTTTGAGTGCAGTATTATCTTTTGATAGTGAAATATTTATAATTTTAAAAATTTCTAGTACTGTTTTACTGCATTATACTGTTCTGTAAAGTTTTGTTTGACTGTCATCACGTCACATTCTACCAGTTAAGGAGGTTGTTTAAGTATTGTTTGAAACACAAACTTTTCAACTAGTTAATTAACAGTTCCATAGTTTGTAATTTTTAAATTGCAGTTAAAAATTGTAACATTGTTTTATTTGCGGAGCGTTTGATAAATACCTTTTAGGAAACGAACAGTGTAAATGTGTTAGTTTATGGGAAAAGCAACAAATTTCCAGGGTTCTTCACTGCTGAAACAAACTGTAGAGCTCCTTTGAATACTACATCATTAGATGATATAGTTAATTTGGTCGGTAAGTTGACCTTTTGTCTTTTTTATGACTGAAAATAAAGATATATTTTAAATGATGTTGTAACTTTTAGACTGTAGTCGTTCACTTGGGCTTCATAATGGTTGCGTAGTGGCATGCCCAATCCCAGCTGAACATGCTGCATATGGTAATCTCATCGACAAAGCCATTCAAGATGCTGTTCATGAAGCTGCGTACGTTTTGCATCAGTAACTTTTCGTGTTTTCAGCAACAGTCGTCTTAAATGCCTTTCATTCAGATCCCCATGTTTTAGGGACTTGAAAATAACAAGTCAAAATGTTACTCCTTATATTTTGAAGCGAGTTAGCGAATTAACTGAAGGAGCATCACTAAAAGCGAGTGTGTGATTTTGGTTGCCTTTCAGTCGTTTCACTCCATTTTTTATCTTTTCTGTTTTTTGAAATTTTCACGAGTGGATTTTTTGATAATTGCTGGCAAAATCCAAGAAGAAATATGTTTGTAGATATGGCTTTACTAGAAAATAATGCCGTTGTCGCAGCTCAGTTGGCCAAGCTTTTTGCTGGTACCAGTGTTGATAAAAGCGGGCAGCAAAAACCGTCTAGCAAAATTCGAAGCGATCATGTCAACGAGGAAAAAATAAAGACAATAAAGCGTCCAAAAGTTGTATGAATTGAATAATGCTTTTTTTTAGTTTTTTAATTGTGTGTTGTGTAATGATGAGGATTTGTTGGAGTCGTTAATTCAAAAGCAACTGACATCGAATTCTGTGACGCAGAAATCAAATAACGATGTCAGTATCGGTTTTGATCACTATGGCTACATCTGCCTAAAGATGCCTGTATTTGCATCTCTTTCTTAATAAAGAAAGTTTGCGACATCAGTTCCAATAGCAAACTAGCTTAGTCATGATTTTTAAATGTTTTTGTTATAGAAATTGTAATCAGTTGTAAATTTTCGCAATTACTAATTATTTAGCACAGATAATTATGCTTTTTTACTTTCTTTGAATAATGTTTTTTGAATGCTGACTACTTCAATGAGTTATTTAGATACAAAGTTTTTTGGACAAAACTTTTTTGAACTTGTTTTGTTTTTCTAGTTTGCTTTCAATATACTGAACACTCCTTATTTTAATTGCTTTTTTCTATTTTATCTCTCTCGAGAAACAACTGCTGTAGTTATGCTAATTGAAATTTTGCATCCAGTGTCAAAAGGAGATCTTTATTTGAAAATGTTCTGCAAAGTATAATCTTTATCATTGCTTATCTCAGGTAGTTATTGGTGCTACTATAATGGACTTTGAAGCAATTACAGATTGTGATGTAAAAGTGAGTTTTTTAGGTCGCAGCTTGCTTGAACTAAAAGTTTTCTTATCTCTTACAGTTATTTATTTTTATTTCTGCTGAAGTCTTTTACATAGCAAAATTTTGGTAAAGACTTTATCCATTTTTTTTGATACGTAAAATCGTATCAGCTGAAACCTGATTTGAAGAACGATGGAGGTTCATATGTTGGGAAAGTTATACATCGATGTGGTGGAGTTGGCCGCAATCATGCAGACGCCTTAACTCGTCTTCATAATGACGTGAAATTTATTTCCGCTGTTGGTGACGATCTGTTTGGAGCCTGCTTTAAAAAAGAATGTTCTCACATGGTTAGCACTTGTTATGGTTCGTAAAACGTCAGAATTGCGAATACCAGTCTTAGAACAGCTGTAATTACTTGGCTATTAATAATCATTCAAATTTTATAATCGAAAATACATGCTGAAGAAAAAACAAAAAAATTTCAGCTAATTTTTATGGTTCATTAATTGCTGAACGGGACAATTATCCTAGTAAATGAGCTGGTAATCTGGTATTATTTGACTCTATTACTGTCACATTTTTGTGCTTATTTAGAATTTGAACAACATATTAACAGTAACCGATGTTCCAACAGCCGTTTATGTGGACTGCAATGTAAAAAGTGAGATATTGTTTGGAATTTCTGCTATTGAAGCGATTACTGACAGAGTGACGCCTGAATTGGTAAGTTCTGTTTATAGATAATTGTTTACAACAGTATAATTTTTACTGGACTTAATAAGATGAGATTTATTAGCTCTAAGCTTTATTTTTAGAAGTTATGAAGCGTACCTTTAACTTTCAAAGATAATGATAGCAGAGCGAAATACCGACTTGTTTATGTGTGGTACATATTAGTGCAAATTTTGAATTAGCAGTATAAACCTCTTCGTAAACTCTCCTGTTTTATGTCTCGATAATAAGCGTGAACAGCTTCTTTCTACTTTTTCTACCTGAAAATTTTCTTTCGCATATAGTATTTTATGGTTACAACTGTTCCTTTCAAAATTGGAAAATCAAGGTTTTCTACATCTTTTATAGTATAATGTACATTAAGTTTAACTTACTAAGAATAGGTGGATTTACTAAAGCCATCAAATGACAAACAACGCTTTTTTTGCCTAAAAATGTCAAAAAAACAGGCTATTCTTGAAACAGTTACTGTGAGAAAAAGCCTGCAGTAAGGCTTTTCATGGGGAACTGACTTCCTTTTTGTAATTTTTCTTAATCTTTTTGCAAAGAATATTTGTTTTTTGTCATTTATCTTGGTTACATAAGCTGTCGACTTTAATTCTTTCAACCATTATAGCGACTGAAAGTTAGGGAGTCAACTGTTTGCAATACAAAAGTCGCGTAACTCACAAACGGCAAATGTATCAAAACCATATTTGAACCATTTTTTCGTTTGGTTAATTGGAACTTTTATTGCTTGCTTTTTAATTACTTTTTATTGATTAATTCTAGACAACTGCACATCTTTTAGTTATGTTCAGAGTTCTGGCGCTTTTTGGTTACATTTTAGGATAAAAAGCACATTTATAAAAGCACATTTAAAAGCAAAAAGCACATTTACCTTCTGCGGTAATATAAGTGATGCATTTTCAAGATACTGTTTATAGATCCGGTCCCACGAAAAAACAATCAGCGAGGCTGATTACCTCATGCTTGATGGAAACATTACCGTACCAGCAATCAAAGAAGCTGTTGAGCTGGCTCACAAGAATAAAGTTAAAAGTAGGCTTTGAATGTTTTACGGAAATTTAAGTGACAATCTGAATTGGTGCACTAATAGTCTTTCTTAGGCTAATTTTGAAAACTTATTTTTAATCAATTATTTTTCTAGTTTGGTATGAACCCACAGATATTGCAAAAATGAGAAAGATATTTGATGCAGAAGTTGCTGATTATATTAATGTAACGTCACCAAACCTTCATGAATTCGTATCTTTCTGCTCTAACATCGGTGTAAAATTACCAAGTCAGTCTTTAGTTCAGCTTTGAGAAGAAAAATAGTTTTCTTAATCAAGTTTTTGTACAGTTTGGGAATAAATTTATTCTTTATACATTTTTCTGTTTTGAAGAATTAATCAGCGATAGACTGTCAATACTCAGCTATTGATTGTAATTAGTTTACTTTGTTAATTTTTCAGCCGGATTCGCTGACGATTATAATGCGGAGAGAGTTTACGACTTATTAACGCAGAATTCTTCTATTTATTTGCGCTTATTGGATATACTAATAATTACTCTCGGCCCGCAGGGTTCTATTATTTTGAAAAAAGAAGGAAATAAAATTGGGGAGTATTGCCTAACTTCACCGATTCCACCGTCCGAAGTTGTTTCGGCGTCTGGTGCTGGTGACTGGTCAGTTGTAGCCATTTTACTGCACCTTAACTGGAAAAACTCATAAATCTATCGTTTTTCAAAATTAAACAGTCAAGTGTTTTATCTCATTATGTTTTTTTGCGTCTATCGCTTTCAAAAAAAAAGAGTTGGCACAGAATCTTTCAAAATGTCAATTTAGAGCCTTGGTTACCACTGTTAGTTTGAATTTTATTTTTTATTTAGCTTTAACAGCGGCTTTCTGACTGGCCTTTTACATGGATTGCCAACTAAAAGTTGTCTGGAACTGGCTCAGACCTGTGCTGCGGTCAGTCTACGCTCTATTTATGCGGTTCCAGAGGAGCTAGAAAAACTAAACATTCTAAGTCAATGCTAGCTTAAATATCTAATCCTCTCCAACTAAAACAACTACGGTACGGGTAAATTGATTGCTAAATAGTGATATCTGCCATATAAAACAAATGATATAGATTTTGTCTTTTCTCTGTATTTTCTATGTTTGTTTTTTCTATATCAATAGATTTAAGTTCTTTAATACTATTTATTCTTTTTCTGATTTCGTCTTGGTATGAAAATCGATGGTCTAACCTTTCAGTGACTCAGATTTGAGGAAATGATGTTTTATGATCGTATGAAATTATATAAAGCAATATTTGTTATAAAATTCAACAAAATAGCTATTCTTGCTTAGAATCACTGTTATAAATTATATGTAGTTTTTCTTTTAGAAGAGGTCTTTAACTTTTACTTTTATTTATACTGAAAAACTGTAATTAAAAGCTGCTGTTTTCTTCGTCTTTCTATAGTGTCAATAGTATAAAATAAAAGTATAATAATATAATTTCCTATATAATTTCCTATTGTGTTCTGTAGCTTAAGTGGCATCAGGTGAAGATCTGAAAAAAATGTGTTTTTTAAAGCGTCATATAGTGCTTTGAACTGTTTACTAGAAATGGCAAAGATTTAAGAGCATACGTTACTTTAAAAGACTGTATTTCAGTTTTTAATTTGGCACTAGAGTCCAAAATCGAACTTCTGGAGATACAAGAAGTATTTCGAGTTACATACTTTAACTGTTATAAGCGACCAGTTAAGAAATCACACGAATAATAAACCTATAAAATCTAAACTCGTCGGCGGAATGCGGAAATGTGAGTTGATCTGGATAGTACTCAAATTTGCAATCATGTTTACAAGGGACAGTGACTCCAAAAATGATTACGCCTTACAGCGAATTCTGCACAGTTAAAAACTTTAAAACCGAGAGTATTTATAGATGTTTGTCGTGAAGAAAACTACACAAAGTTGAGGGCGTTTTTGAAGTTTTTAAAACAGTTTTAAAAGGTTTCTTAGAGTACTATTAGCCAGGTCTTCAAAGAGTGTTTAAATCTTCTAGAAAATTAGTAGAATTTTTAAAATAAGTATATGTTATTTGTGTTACAAATCCTAAATTTTTTTACCGTTAAAGAAGTGCTATTAGCTCAAATTTATGAACCTAATTGAATTGTATATTCACTTAACTCTCTGATTAGACATGTGCTGTTATTAGATTGTGCAACTGATCACTCATCCCACGTCAGTTAATATAATAATTTACTTTTTTATGAGAAGAATCAGCACATCTGATTTAACAGTCGAACTTTCTTTTAAAAATCCTAGAAAAGGGATTTTTTAATTCGTGAAACTGTATGTTTCAAATATTCAATTAGGTGGACATTACAGGATTCAAGGCTTTCAGTTTTATACTTTTATCAGATAAGTAAGGAACTGCTGTAAAATTATGAAGAATTCTTAAAATTTGCCAACATAAACTAACGCTTATTAGATTTTTTCTAAATTTTTTGAGTCGCTTGAAACCATCTTCTTTTATCATTTTAGCTGTTCCGAGAAAATATGAAGTAGAAGAAATTTGTCAGAAATTATGAAACTCGTATCCCCGTCATATTTTATGAGATCACTGTCCACTCAACTAAGTTATGAAACTGATTAGCACTTTAAATCTTCCTCTTTGTTTCACTGATTTTCGGGTTTTCGCAATACTGTACACTATTTACACTTTTTAATTACCGTCAGAAAAGACAAGAACGCGAAACATTAATGG